CACAGGTTTTTTACCTGACTACTACTTGAAAAATGCAGTGTAAAAAAAAAAAAAATCAATACTTGAAAAGAAAAGTTATCACAAATGATTGCAAATTACAGTGTGGGTGAGAAATTTAGTTGTGAAATCAACAGAGCACCAGAATCATGTCACCTCTAGAGGACAGTTGCACCTTGAAACAATTTGGAACATCTTCTACACGTAGACAAACTAAAGCCAGAATTTGTAGCATTATTGGCTTAAAGCAACATTTTGGCCTACATGTATAAACATCATGAACACATTTTTGGCTCATATTTCTACTTAAACCACTCCTCTAACTTTTCACCTTTATGGGAAAAAAATTAAAAAGAAAGAAAAAGATTATATTGACATTAAGAAATACAATGAACATTAATGGTGGCTATTGGAAAAAAAAATTACCTGCTGAACACTTAAAAGCTTGCTTGAGTTTATGCAGTTCACCCTGGACTTTCTGACTTATGCCATCTTGATAAGAAGAACATACTCTCAGTTAAATAATTGTCTCCTAAATTGATAGTAATTATAACTCTTATTCTAGATCCCTCGGCTTGGTTTACTCAGACAGCAGTTTTATATTTCAGCGAACATGAAAGTAAGGCTGTCAGGGCAAGTTTCCCTGAAGATTACTGGCATGAGTGTCGAAAATGTAAAATTATTCAAAAATCAGTGTTTTTATCTATGGAAGAGAAAGTGAAAATATTAGGTGCTAAATGTCCTCATGATATTATGAAAGAAAGTGTTAAATCTTTCTGCTTGGGTTTTCCTATACCCAAAGTCACAGAACTATACTGTACTGCACTGATATTAATCAGACCCAATTAAATTCTGAGAATCTGACATTCAAATAAAATTGTAACAATAAAATTTAATAATACTTCATAGTACCAATCAAAATCCCCAAATGCAATGCCCTATCCATGGTGACAGATTGCATAGAGCATTGATAATCTAAATCTTGAAAGGAAAGGGAACATGTCCTTTAAACCAGGTGAGGGCAGAAAACAGGAGATTCCTCAGTACAAATATGGCACACAGTAGGAAAAAGATGTTTTAAAACTTGATATATTCCAGACATAGATGATATATTGAATACCTTTATCCCCAGCATCCATGATTAAAATGACCACTGCTGCAAATTATTTCTACATGAAAAAAAAACCCATAATGTAAGTGGTTATTTGGGGAAAAATAATTGAAAAGAATCCTGATTTCCCACACCTTCTAATGGGTAAAGATAATAAGAAAGAATCATTAGTTATAGGGTTTATTCTGATAACACTTTACCTTGCCGATAACAATAATAATAATATTTAATACTTATATTGCATAAAATACTATAGATTAACATTACAATATTTAAAAAAATAAAAATAATAAAAACAAAAACAAAAACAAAAACACCATAGATATGGAAAATAAACAATGCTCAGTTAAAATGTACTAAGGGAGTATGCCTGCAGACCCCCTTAGTTTAGAGCACCTTTGTACAAAAAATGTTAATGGTTTTGAAAACAATTTATCAGCAGTGTTACAATAACGGTGTACTTCATAATTTCGTCCATCTATATATACAAGCATTTTATGTCAGGAGAAGCCACTAAGTTTGTCAGATGTGTTATATTAATCCAACTACACTAAAGCTGCTATCAAAATGACAAAGAGGGAATGGTCAATAATGATATGTTTTAGCATAGCTTGCCAAAAACCCATGTTTCTGATCCTTTTTTTAACCTGAATAATACAATGAACCTGGAGTAATATAATGAGGGGCGGGGTCTGGAGACAGAGGGGCACAAAGTCCGGGAGGCGGAAGAACGAGGTACAGTTTTCTCCCCCCCTCTCCACTCTAAGGGACAGTGACTTGTAAAGATTACAAAAACTTTACATGGTTTTCACGTATCATTGCTGTGTATTCCCTGCACCGAGAAACCAAAACCTAATGCCTCGAATAACTTACTAACTAACTGTCTCGGTGAATAATTCAATACTGGACGAATAAATAGTAAACTGAACATCAAAATTTACTACAAACCAGTTATAAGTCCAGGCTTTCTGTGGTTTCAGGTGCCGATAAGGAAGTCTATCAAAGAAGTTACTTAAACTTTTACATCCATTACGACTTAAGTTAAAACGATTGAAATAACTTAAGTTTGGTTAACAAAGCTAAGCTATCAATTAGGATTTAAGAATTCAATAAAAATAGAAAGCTCGCAAACTAAAATCCACGAGATGTAAGGAGTGATATCGGTTCGCATAACATACCTGTCAACTTCTACCGAGCAAAAAACAATTATCCTTTGTTGATGACTTCAAGAAAGCGAAAATGAGATGAAAAGACACCAAATCGAATAAATCAAAACAACTTTAAAGATAGCTCATAGCTTGAACTAAGGCTTTGGAGGTAAAATGTTTGGAGGTTAGGAACCCTTTCTGGCTTAGCGACCGCGTCTACAACGTCGTTCCCAGTGTCCTGTCTCTTCCTTCACTGGAAAGAACCCAAACCCTATTTGGTCAAGTGTCTGTTAGAATTAAGAAAAAGACGATACATTGAGGGTACGGACAGGAGAGTTCAGATTCAATGACCCTAAGTTAAGGCTTTCTGACTCTTTAATGCGAAGTGATATATGACGGGTGAGAGAAGGAGGCCTGATGACTTTAGATATATGAAAATTCATATATTTGCAGTGCGGTGAAGAAATGAAATTAAGAGATCCTCGCAGCTAAGAACGCTAGTGAAACGAGTAGTTGAAAATAGGACCTGGAAAAAATTCAGGTCCGTACGGGATTTGAACCCATGACCTCTGCGATACTGGTGCAGCGCTCCACCAACTGAGCTAACAAGCCAACTGGGAGCTGGTCAATGTGTTGGGTCCAAATAAACCATCCAAGTGATGAATGATGATTTTAGATATATAAAAATTCATATATTTGCACTTCGGTGAAGAAATGAAATTAAGAGATCCTCGAAGCTAAGAACACTGCTGAAACGAGTAGTTGAAAATAGAACCTGAAAAAAATTTTTAGAAGGAGGCCTGTTGGTCGGAAGGGTTGGAGCTCACTTGCATTTGACTAGTAACAGTCCTCCCGTAATTTAATTTGGTCTTAAAAGACGCTGCTACTGATTGGGAGGGGCACAAACTCTGATCTAGGATTATGCTCCTCAGACGAAAAGTAAAGAGCGATGGACTAATAGAAATCACCACGATGTACAACTTACTAACTTAAGTCTTGCAAAGTGCTCTACAAATTCATTTCCCAAGCTAAGTAGAACCAGCGTCTTTAAGGAACTGAATATAATAGGGTCTTTCAATGGTCAAATTTCCCGCTTAAACTGCAAATGTGTCCCGACCCCTCCCCCATCGACAGGCCTCCCTCGTCCCTCCTTCGTCATTTGGCATAGTGTCGTATTCCTTCCAAGGCACTTACGCAAATCAGAATTGAACAAACCTTCAAACACATTGTCTGAAAGGTTTGTGACGGAAGCGTAGTAATATCACAGGCGAGTCGTTTTCTACTGATTCTTCTTAATAGGGCAATGACAACGAAAACAACATTTATTTTTCTTCATCGGACGGTGAAAACCGAACAGGCATTACTGCAAAATGTTCTTTTTCTGTGACTTTGTGTAAAGCAGAAGCCGTATTTCGGAGCCAGGCGTGAACGCTGTTGACTTTCCCGCAAGACAAAAGCTAAACGAAAGCCTGATAAGAGAAAATAAAGTTGAACGGGAAACTTCTTGTCAGTTTGAGTAAGTTAGGCAAATCTTGATGACAATTCTTTCTACTACCTTTTTTTGCGATGAAATATAAATCATCTGATGGATAATATTATGATTGTTGTGTTGTTATGGAAACTAAAATGATTCGCCATTTACACTTGTGAGTAAAAAGGCTACAAATCCAGAAATTCGGTGAAGAATATAATCAGTCTTCAGATTTGCTTGCAGAATGAAACCTCAGCCCCAGGAGAAGGTGTTTCTATGACTTCATTATGCAAACATGATTCTAATTGAATTTTATAATTCCTTCTAACTTAGTCCTACATATTCATTTATAGTTTCATGATTATGTTCTAATTAAGCAAGCTGCAAGAAGCTTAAGAGAAATAAACACTCAAAAGCTTAAATGCCTCAGGAAAGAATCATAAAAAGCTACATATGAAAGAGTACCATTAGCATTAATTGGCAACCTGCTTAAAAGCATTCGAAAATTAGTAATACATGCGCCTATTCCAGTAATTTTATCTTTTTCATTTATTTTTCTGACAAAAATAATCACATTTTGACTCCAACTTTCCTTAAAGTTGAACACGAATCGTTAGGTTCTAAACAGCTTTACACGAAATCACTAGTGTTTCCGATAGAATGTGAGAGATGCCATTAAATTTTAACGACGAGAGAGTCATAGATTCTGCAAATTATTCAATTATCGAAACAAGGATGTTGATACGTAAAGCAAACATGGCAAAAGAAAATCAAAAGATCTTTTTATTTGGCTGAGAATATAGGGTAAAATAACTAAATTTGGCCTCTTTGCACAAGGGAAAGATGAATTAAACCCTCAATCCGCGAAAAATGAGGTCTCGATGAAAAAAAAAAAAAGGAAATACTGCAACCTCATGCAATTTAGAATAAATTTGATATCAACACTGCAACGAGACAATTATAATGACACTATTTAAAGAGAGAAGCTCAAAAGGAAAGCTAACACTAGGTTTGGTTAGGGGGCCTTCCTTAATTGCTATATACAAATTATTAAGATGCTAAAATTTTGTCGTAGACCAATATATACCAACGACAAAGTAACAGCCAGATGTTAGAACATAAAACATTTTTCAAATTATCCAAAATTGTCATCAGATATTAATTAATTAGCTGAGAGTCGATATTGCAATACATAGTTTGTTTTCATTCTGGCAATTTCCTTTCACCTGCTTGTCTAGTTAGCCAATAGAAGGAAACAAACATTCATTTTTCTTTATCATAAACTTTTTGAAGGCAAAGACTGAACATGTATCTCCGTATTATACTTATTCTTTGTGCCGTTGTGTCCGGCGTTAGCCGTATTTCAGAGCCAGATCTGAACGCTGTTAACTTTGCCGACAACATAGCAGGACGAAAGCTGAACAAAAGCCTGATAAGTGAAATGGAAGTTGATTCGGAAACTTCTTGTCAGTTTGAGTGTGTGGAGGAAGAGCGATGTCAGTCTTACAACTTTAGAACCATAAAGGGCGACTCAGGGAAATTCAAGTGTCAACTGAGCGACTCTGATCGATTTTTTGGATTTGCCAACTTTACTGAAGACAAAGATTTTATTTATAGAGGACTAATGGTAAGCGAAATCTATCTCAGTGCATTGAAAATGACTTGTCACCAGCTCAGTATATGAAACATTGCATTTCAAACTGTGGTGGACCTTCACAGTAAAGAGACACCACGAACAAAAGCAGCCTAAACTTAATAAAATTTTACTATTACCTTTGAGGGGTCGTTTTTACGATGAAAATTTGCTAAAAGGGTATGAAGAGAGAACAATTCAGGCTTATATTCGACTTGTATTATGCGTTCAATATCCAACCTTGCTATTTTTTCGTGCATATATATATAGGCATTCCTCATGAACTTTCTCGAGTTTCCTGATCCAAAAATGATGCGTTTCCTGTTGCACCTTGTTATAAGTATCTGGCTTGTGGAGGATTATATAATGGAAACCCAAAGCTAAATCACGTAGTAAAACATGATATAAATTATCGTACCTCTTACAAGTAAGTAAAAAGGTATAATTAAAAGAATTTTAAAATGATTTTTTTCTCAAGGTGCCTTCAAATAAACCAAGGATCCCCCAGAAAACCCTTTTATTCGAAAGGTCTTGATAAACTTAAAAGGGTAAAGGTTTTTGAGGAGTTATTTTTTTCACAGAGCGCTTGCGAGGAGGACAGGTTTCAATGTGGCAAAAATGGAATCTGCATTCCCAATTATGTAGATGGAAGCGCACGATGCAAATGTGACGATGGCTATACTGGAAAACCTTGCAGTAAGTCAAGGATTTAGAAAGTTTATTGTTTGAGTCAATCAAAGCTTAATTATTCTACAAAAACAACTTTGGACTGAATCACTTTTTTTCTTCGCAACAGAGGGGAAGAGCTGCTCTCAATTGTTTCAAGATGGTTTTAATGTCAGTGGCCTGTACACCATCAATCCAGATGGCGGCAAACCGATACAAGTGTTATGTGATATGACCACGGATGGCGGAGGTTGGACCGTATTTCAAAGACGTTTAGACGGCTCTGTTGACTTTTATCTTGGATGGGAATCCTACAAAAATGGGTTTGGAAATCTAAACGGTGAGTTCTGGCTTGGAAACGACAATCTTCACCTTTTAACAGCAGTTGATAACGTGATGATGAGAGTTGACCTGGAAGACTTTGACGGCAACATCACCTACGCTGAGTACAAGACTTTTAAGGTGGCAGGCGAAGCTGATAAGTATCAGCTTTTGATTGGCGGATACAACGGCACGGCTGGTGACTCTATGACAGGACGACACAAGTAAGGAAAAACTGTCTATTGTATTGTATTGTATTCAATTTTATTGTATCTTTTTGTCCCTTTTTTCGTATGGTGTCCGTGCCGACCATGCTATTTATCAAGAAATTCTTCCATAAATTGATTAGTTTTTATAATTTTTAACAGAACTAATTCCCAAAATTTTTTACTTTGAATGAATTACGGCAATATTTGAGTTTTAATCTTCATCATTCCAGCCATATGAATTTTTCTACGAAAGATCAAGACAATGACATATATAGTCACCACTGCGCCCAACTGTACAAAGGAGCCTGGTGGTACGACAGATGCCATAGGTCCAATTTAAACGGATTATATCTCAATGGTCGACAAACCACTTATGCTAACGGAGTCAACTGGTACGCTTTCAGGGGCTATTATTACTCTCTAAGACGCACTGAGATGAAAGTTAAAACCAAGGGATAGGATGGTTTCTATCGCGGGATAACAAATGCATGGTATCATGCATGACGTCATCAAAGCATTAGATTAATCCTGACTGACTAGTAGTTTTAGCATGAACTGCCGTAAAAGCAGGCATATTCTCATTCCTTGTCAATACTATCCGTATTTAATGTCATTTTTTGATGGAGACCTGGTATGTTCTTGGTTTATCTCAGGGGATTGTCCATATTGCCATTATTAGATTAACCTTTAGTTTGTTTAGGTTTGTATAGTTGCAAGTGCTCATTCTCTTTGTGGGAGCCTCACGTGGGTGCGAGTGTCCCGTTCGCGTCTCTCCCTTGTGTGCCTGTTAAATATTTAGTAATAGACTCGTTTGGGCGGCAGGTATGTCGCCTGATAATGTCCGCGGCTAAGATATTGTCCGAAAAATTAATATGTGGTCGAGAAGCGAAGCTTCCGAGGCAAATGTGAAATTTTGAGGACAATCTCTCTGTGGTGGAGGGAGAAACCCTTACTGCATGATCATCTTGGCCAAGAACTGAAAAAAGAGTAATTTACCTCTTTTAAAAGATCTCAACCGCTAGCTATAACAAAACAATTTAGTCAAAACAATTTATTCCCAGTCCCACCTCTAGAACAAAACTTTTCGCGTTATCAAAGGGATACAGTTTCTAATCACCTCATCCTTCATTTTCCTCCTGGAGAAGTTCACGCTCTGTGTTTTGTCTTAGGGGCTGGTGGCATAATTTTCTACAAGATTGTCTATTAATAGTTCAGTATTGGAGGCATTTCAGTATTCTTTACTATCATTAGCAGTGAAAGTTTTCATTCTCTTTGATAAAATGGGCCATACCATTCAAGGCTCCCCACCCCTGACATCAATCCCTTCTTCAGCTATAGTCCCATGATTTCAAGCCCTACGCGAACATGTTGTGTAATGATACTAAGGTGAATAGGTTGATATAGTAACAGTAGACTATGGTGGTGGGCTAGGCACGAAGTAGCATCCTTTATTGTCAAAAATCTGGGCTGAGTTTATTCTATAACAGGATTATCATAAGTTATGCTCCGCTAGAGGTAAATTATATTGTAGTAAACCATTTAAATGTTCATTTACCCCATGACATTGTAGATTCATTGCTTTTGCCAAGTACAGATTGTTAATGAATAATTGTTAAAACTACTGAGAAATGGTTGCAAACACAATAACAACTTTTGCATGTAATTGAACCCATCTACTTAGTCCCTCCTCGGCCACCAATAGCTTTGTGTCTGTAACGAGGTATAAAACGAAGTATATTTCAAGTCACCCGCGTCTGAAATGAGCTGTTTCGCTTCATGGCTTTAAGGACGAGGCTATTTCACATATGATACACTTGTCTAAGCAACAGTTTACCACTAGACTTCCGGTAATTCCGATGGAGTCGGATGAACTCAATTGGATTCCGATGGACCCCATCGGATTCCATCCGTAGGAGTCCATCGGACAACATTTTTGCCCTCCCTGATGTTCATCTGACTTCCGGTTATTTTACTTCCGTAAGAGGGTGTCACGAATACAATTTTTTGAAAACCACAATTTTCATCGAAATCCATTGTTGTGTATTGGGCATGTATGGGGATTGCCGAGAGAAAAGACCCAAATATGAAAGATGAGATAAGAAGATGACAGAAGAGAGTCAGACGGTCACACAGTAGACTGCTGTCGTTATTTCGCGTGAGCGGCTCGTTGTTCGTAGTCTTGAACCCATCTACTTAGTCCTTAACGAGATGTAAAACGAAGTAGTAGAGGGGCAGAGGAGCATTTTGTTGCGCATGCGCTAAGAAAATTTGTTCGGCGCCTCTGGCGCCATTTTGATATTTTCAGCGCGCTTTTGCGGGTTCTCAAATGAGCGATCGACACCTTTCTGTGGTATTTTTTGGAGAGGGATGAAAAAGTATGACAAGTTTACCACCATTTATAACTCTGTGGATACTCATGGAGTTTGCTGGCTCTTCGGATGAGGATATTTTAATGATCAAAGTGCGAACAAAACGCGAAAAAAGGCCCAAAACTTGAAGTTTGATATTTGATTTGCTGACGATCAAGATGTGTACATGAGACTACAAACCTTTAAGGTTAGTCTTATTAAGCTGATGAATCACGAAGTGGTGTGTGGAGGCGATCGTGAGGTATTCGTTACGATAATAGAAGGTAGTTTACAATTTGATCTTATTTTACTACAACTTTGAAATAAAACTAGACGCATAGCTGCGTGAACTCGGGCTTTCAATATCGCACATCTGGAGTTATCTTTAGGGGACTGCCATATTGCCATTGTTACTGTCGTCACGCAATTTCGTCATTGCCGGTCATGAATAAGTCAACTTGTGTTTATTTTTGTCTGCTGGAGTGTAATGAATGTTGTTATGGTACTAGACAACAATCAAAATAATATATTACCATATAGGAGTAGGTTCCTACAGATGCCAAAGGTTGAAATTCAAGGACTTTTCAATGCCCACATTACCTTTACAATAGATAGCAACTGCAGTACATCCTATTGTCAATACAGAATTGTTGAAATTTTCGGATATAAGTGATTGAAAGGCTCTATCTAAGGAGGTACAGTACTGATATCCTTCTACTGTAGCTTCTTGATGAATAGTACCAGTGTAGCTCTCACTGTATTGAAGTTCATAGTCAGTCCCTAACACACTAAAAGTGTGAGTAATTCTGTCTGCATTAAAAATGACTGTCTGGTTAACTGAGACAAACTTGAGTACAACTGATTTCCAATATTCATTATTGACATGAGATCATCAGCAGAATTGATTCCTTGTTTTTTATTGTAAATCAAAGAGTATAAACTCAATGCAACACATTGTTGTCCTGAATTTTGTCCAAATACCAACTCATTTGCTTGGCTATATGGTGCCGTTATCGTTTTGCTAGGGTCAATGTACATTGGAGTAGGACTAGGGTTTTTCTTGATATCTGAACTCAGTTGAAGTTTACAATAGTTTGATGGGTGTGTCTGACTCTTATTAAGTCACATGGGTCTGTTACAAGAGAACATTGATAAACACCGACTTGCTCTATACTTCAATTTAATTATCCTTTGATATACCCACACAGAACAATGCAACAAATGCTTCTTCTCATGTTGTGTCACTTTATTTAATCTTACCCTCTTCGTATTAAGCTTACAAACATTCTTTGTAACTCTTCTAACCTTTATGTAAATGCGTGACTTTTAAACTTGCGTGACATTTGTGTTACAGTTGGATTTGTGCCATTTGATTCCTTCAAATAGTTTTTCTCTCCCGCTTTCATTAATCGCCTGTTCATGTTCGGCGTGCATACAAAGTTAATTTATAAAGTTTGATTTCAAGCCACCGGCATATAGGGACTGATATGTAAGTTGTTTTCGCTTGTTTTGTTGTTTATCTCGTTTCGAGCAAGCTCTTTCGTCTTTATTTGTATATATATTTTGTGTTTGCCGTAGCATTTGGTTCATTTACTAGTTCCTTTATTATGTTAGATTCATTTACGCTGTTAAGTCGCCACGTGTTTAATTGAATACAATCTATTATATAAGTCCCTTTTTTAATTCGCTTACAGTTTATGAGATTGATTAAAGTTATGTCCCTGTAACATATCCCCTGGTTTGGTTGGCATTTTTCTCCAGTCGCGATTTTCTTGGCACTTCATCGAGCCTTGATGTTCGTTTGCCGCAACACTTTAAATAACAATGTAGCCAAGAGAACTTCGGTATGCTTGGACGAATACACTCATAAACAAATTCCTTCACTTTTCTGCCCTTTCTTCTGAGACGTTTCAGAGTACCTTCTGGTATTCTACTGGGTTCTCAATCACGTCTAAATACACGGTTGTGTTTACATGTAAACATAATAATTATTAGATAGCTCATTTGATATAGCAGGTTTCGCTTGATATTTCTCGATAGAAAGTTCACTTGTAAAGGATTGCTCATAAATTGATCTCTCCTAAAGTTTGCGGACCGACCCGTTTCCAAAACGCTCCACAAGTTTTAGTGTGGGTCTACTGTGAATGGTGTGTGACTTTGTATGTATATTGAGCATAACAGCCATCGAATTTCTTTCACATACATCGAGCAAGGAATTGCCCACAGAGACAGGCATTACTTAAAGCCATGTGCTCTAGCGTTCATTCTACACATGCACTGTAGTGGAACTGCATTTTGTGACTGAACACAAAAAAAAAACAAAACAAAGCCAAATTTATACCTTGGGTGTTTCCTTCAGAAAGCCCGAGTAATAATTACTTAAGTTCGAGGTAGCCCCCAAGCTTCAAACCACTTCAAATAACATCTTCTCTACTTTCTCTTTGTAGTCCCATAGGACACAAGGCTTAAAAAAAGGCTTTTGGAAATATATTGTTTTTATCCTCACTGTTAAATATCAGCCTTACTTGTTCTTTTTTGTTTGGCATGTATAAGAGTCTTTTCAGATCATCAAATTGTCATACAACTCTTGTAATTTAATAGGTTGGAGAATAAGGTTGCAAAGAGTGTATACGATTTTGTTGTGCAGTTGAAATGATTAATGAAAGTGGTTTTTACTGGGTAATAATTGATTTATTTAACTATTCATCTCACAACTGGAAGCCCAAACTAGTACTTGTTTTCATTCACAATTTTCCCACATCATCGATCATATCTGATGATATTTCCGAGACTAATGATTGAAAAGACTTTATCTTACTCTGATAAAATCCATAAGTATTCCTCCATTTCTAACCAGATGGAGCTACCATAATAGTGTTGTCTTACTTTTCTTTACTTAACATTGACCTTTTTTATTTTGGTAATGGGCCCTGCCAGTTGTGATTCATGTCAAAAAAAACTTTTGAAACAAAACAAACTTCTGTAAACTTTAAATTTTTGCCAAAATTGGAAGTACACTGCACTGGCAGTACAGTTTAAGCTCTAAAAAACGCTTACAGGAAGGCAAGTACTTCAAATGATCACCAATAACTTGAGATAGCAATGACATGATAAAAGTATACTATCCAATTCTTTTGTGCTCTTCAACAGGCCACTTGCATCCTTCAAAAATAACATCATCTACATCGATCGCTCAAACAATCACAAGACAAGACTTGTTATGAGTTATGAGTTATCAAAATTAATAATATTTGTATCAATATTATCATTTTTTCTGGTGTTTACCCAATAGATTCAATCCACTTACAGACAAAGATGGTACTTGTACATTTCACCATTATTCTTAGGATGAGGCACATGTAGAGAGCAATATTTCAGAAAACAACAGCATCATGTATGGAAGGTTTAAATCTTTCAGACCTTTTCTGCTTGATTTTTTGAGTGGTTCCAGGATTTTCTTGTGCAAAGAGTTCTGGGTGAATGTACCAGTTGCCATGTTTTTTAGTATGGTGGTTGCAGTAACTTTTGCTTGACGTAACCTTCAGCAATATTAATTTTGTGAACTTGTCACTGACAAAGAGCTAGTTCATGATTAGACATTGATTGTTTCATAGATTGTCATGCTCTACATTCATCACTTAAATTAATTTCTTCGCCATCAGTAATTTCATTAAATATACTGTGTTGGAAATCACACCACCATGCCCCAAAATGTAATGTCATCCTGGGTACAATTTCATATTTTTGAGCAAGGCAAAGGTAAAAATCAAACAAGACTACACAGACATCATTTCCAAGACAAAATTGCCATGTATAATGTTTATATAAGGTAGTAAGTTATGTAAAACTATGCTATTCATTAAATCAGTGTCAATACTCTCCCTCATAGCAGATATAATTTTTAGCCAACTTGGGAAATGGTGGCCTAAAATGGACCATTTTGGACATCCAAACTTTTAAATTTCCAGGGAAAGGTTCCTAGACTTCGTTGTCCAAGTGGGAATAAATGGCTGCCACACTGTCATTTTTTGTCCCCCCTTTCCACAATCTTACCAAAGCCCCCATATGTGTAGTAATAAAAATATTGAAGAGAAGTGTGCAATCTCAGCAAGAGATGATAATCATTCACACTTTTAAGTGAGTCATCCTAGTGGATGTTTGGTGAGGTATTGCATTCTGTGCTCAAAATTTAGCTCACATAGACCTGGGGAAAAAGAATGAGGTGTAGCAGTCATTCAGGTTGGTTAATTGCTCTAAGCTCTAATTCGATACCACTACTCATTTGGTTATCTATCTTGCCAATATTCTTTGTGGTTATTTGGGTTCTTATGGAAACTCTTCCCTTTGAGAAGAAGCATGGTTTGTGTTTGCAAATTAATAGGAAAGAAAAGTTCAAGGGGAGGAACAGGATGATACCAAAGACAGTGCAGGGGGGTAGTTTTTTTTTTTTTTTTTTTTCTTTTTTAATTAGGGTTGTAGCCCAAGTATGTCTAAGTTTCTACACTTGGTGTTTAGTCTTGTGATTTCTTGCTTTAAGAAGTGAGGTAAATTGTTTGAATTGTTTTTTTGTTACAGCCACTTAAGTCTATAAATGGAAATAAAACACAGAAAAATGATGGTAAGGAACACATTGCATGCTCTATAAAGTACTGAAAGTAATTTGCAACCCTCCATATTTGTTATTGATAATTGACATGCTTCATGCAGGTGTTGTGTGATTAGAGGAGAAGTTAACTGTTTTTAAAAAATTAAATCACTTTAAACTGCAGTGAAAGCTATTACTTTTATTGTTATAAAAATATCAAAGGTAACCCCTCTGAGAACCTTCCCTCGTGTCTGTGCTATAGAGGTGTCCACTAAATATAGGTCAATTTATTAGGAAATGTGGGAAGAATTGTATGCAACTTAATGATGCAATTTTTAGCCAGTTGAGAGTTCTTTCCTTTTTTTGTTGTGGTGCTAATGGTGTCTCCATCAATTGCCAACCAAGTATTTAAGCACTAGTTGTGCCTGTTGATTATTTGACTTTCCCTAAATGTTTTTTATCAGTGGAGCCAAAAGGAAAAGTTTACGAGGCCATTCTTTAAAAAAATGACAGGAAGGCCTTAAAAGCTTACTTAGATCTTTGTGAAGATGGAGGGTTATTTTATTAGTAGTTAGTCATGTAAAGATAGGTTGCCAGAGCCACTTACCAGGAGTAGATTTATATGCTAAAAATACTACATTTGAGCTTAAATTTTACAGACATTATTCAGAAAAAAAATCTTAACCCTTTAACCCCTGAGAGTGACTAGCTTCTAATTTCTCCTTACAATATCACTCCTGAATCAAACATTAAAGTCACAAGAGTCAAGGATATGACCAACAACTTGTAAAGCTCTTGATTTTTAAACAAATTCTCCTTGTCAGCACCGTAGGAAATGTATAGAGAACAGTATGGAGAAAATGCATACTGATGTCAGGGTGTAAAGGGTTAATGTGTATGTTAAAGGTAGCAATCTTATATAGCTATTACTTATTCATAAATACTATATTTTATTTAGCAGAGTGTAGCTTCAATGGATGCCAGAAATATGTTTATGAAAAACTGGCAGATACTGTTTTGTGCACCATGCTGGTGAAGACAGCAGTGCAAGCATAGGTGAAGATGGAATCAAGAAATGCAGAACAGGAGTGAGTCCATTTAGTCCTGAAAAAACCATGGAAGAGGTTTCTGCTGGTTTTGGTGTTGCTTTTCCTGCTGGTAGGTATGAATCAGGGGATTCTTAGGAGGATTATGAAGATATGGAAGATGATCCATTTGTTTCCCCCCTCCTCTCCCCTCCCCTCCTCTTCCCCTTCCTCTCTCCCTCCTCTCCCCTCATTAGGCATTCAACTACTGGACAAAGACACAGAGTTGTCAAATGAAAACAATGTTCAAGGTAATTAATATGTTGACCATTTTCACTCTTTGTATCTTTGTTTTTGTAAAATGAGTTTTTTTGCTATATTGTTCCATAATTATTCATCTATATAAACCTTATTTGGTTTTTGTTATTTGCTAAAGAAAGCATTGTGGTGCTTGTTTACAGCCAGTGAACCAGATGATGAAGATTTTGTCCTGTTTGAGCTCCTCAAGCCTCCCAAAGATGCTTTTTATGAGGTATGCAGAATTTGTGAGTGATTTATGGTTTTCTTCTGCTTAGGTTTTCTCTTACTTTATTATTATTATTATTATTATTATTATTATTATTATTATTATTATTGTATACTATGCAGAGATGTTCTTGTAACATGTAAAGTAGTTTAGGGGGATATCATTATTATTATTATAATTATTTTCTACTATGCATAGATGTTCTGCCAATGTGGAGAGACTGGAAATGGAGGCAACTTGAGGAGAAAGACTTTTTTTAATTTTAAATAAAATCAGTAGGGCAAGCTATTTGGCACAGTGTAATACTAATAATTAAACACCTTATGGGTCATGTGTTCACTCTAACAGTTTTGATTGGGTTTTGAAGCATGCTTAATTCAAGTTATATCCAAAATTCCCCTGCTCCAAATTGTGAATGGTACCTAGATATGGCCAGAGAACATCAGCAGAGAATGTGACCTCTTAAGCATGTTCACATCAGACCCATGAATTTGTCCACAAAACCTCCTTTGGAATTGTCGAGTTCCAGAGTTTTACATCTAGTGCATTTCCAGAGCAGTAACATGTTAAAAAATGACACAATCATTTAAATTGCAAAGAATTTATTTAAACCCTTGACATTTACAGCAACCCATATAAAAAAGAAATCTTACTAACAATTATGAATGAATGGGTGAATAAAATAGCCTTGACTTCTCAATCTGGTGTCAACTGCTTTATTTTATTCAAAAGTATAGAAGAGCAAATTGGAAGGACAGAAAGAGTTACTTTCTGTAATCTGTGAAATAGTATTGAACAATTAGAGCCAAATAGTTGGAAGTAAATAAAAGATAGAATGGATTTATTGTATATTAGTGCACTGTAGTCTACTTTATATTTCACAAATTCCAAAAAAATCACCATTTCACCTGAAGTTATTTGCTTGAATTATTTGTACTGAAGATGTTTATTTCCATAAGAGTGTTGCATGTTCAAGTACAACTGGAGGAGTTTTTTTTGGCTATCCATTTTTGTTCGTTAGATGAGCAATTTAAGCTTGAATTTTGAGTTCGATTAATTATGGTTTGCTAATGCACCCAGTAATTAGAAAAAATATTTAGCACCAATCACTCCTGCCTCAATGACACAAAAAAGTGTTTATTTGTTCCAAACACTTACAGTGTATCCTATTTATCAAGAGAATTTTGTTAACAAAGGATATCATAGCAGAATAAAGGTAACAAAAATTTATACGAAACATTAAAAAAGGAACAACTGAAGTGATTTTACTTAACCCATGAAACAGTATGTAAACAACCTGTATGACACCAGCATGTATGTTTGGTTGTTGGATCACCCCGTATTTTGTATGGAAAACATGATACAAACCAAAAATTTTTGTAATGCACAGTAGTTTATGACCAATTTCACTGGTTGGATAAAATCACTCTTTATATTCATCTACAATATCTTGTTGAGAAATAAACTGTGACAAAGCTTTGACTTAGCATTAGCATGATTAATAGTTATTGCTCAGTTGTCTTTCGTGATGCATTTAATAATGAAAAGAAAGTAATGCTTGTTAATATTGTCATCTGTTAAAATTTTGATTAAATCTGAATGACTTAAGTTTGGTTTTCTTTTCTTTTCTCTTATAAGCATCCCACTTTTTGGGCAGATGTCTCTCTGGAATGATCCTTTTGGAATGGCTTATTTTGCACTCAACCCTTCAATTATTATGTTACAATGTTTTATCTGACGGCGCATAGTACCCGTAGGCCTCTACATAGATGTTCACTTTGCTTGTAAAGCAAAGATAAATTAATAAGTTGCCGTCAATATATGCACATGCATCTGTGTATACAGCGACTTCTGGGAAAATTTCTCATTGCCTGAAAACATTTTTAACGCTAAATTGACTTAAACTCCAATGGTGGGAGTAATATGCAGACCCTTCTCAACAATCAGAACATCACAGTGGTGGAACATAACACCAAAACTTGCCGACTGATCAATATTTTATAGGGCTACATTTTCTTTTCCAGCAAAAAGATCTCTTCAGGCTCAGTGATATTTGTCGCATAATACCCAGGCTTTGTGCAAGGGATTCTACAATGTACCGGCTAAAGTTATTGACTTCACCCGAGGGTAACCTTCCGACACCTACCCCGACCTAAAGTTCTTTTACGCGAATAAAAGGTGCAATTCCGGCGATCTAACGTACAAATGCGGTATATCTGTTCATCCCTGTTTCCCTGTTTTGAGTGCATTCGAAAATCAAAACAATTTAATAGCTCGTACCCTGCATATGCAATACATCCCAACTTGACATATACAATATTAACCTCTATTTTCCATTTTTCATTGAATGTGAGAATTCTCGAAAAACGGAATAAATTCTGATAATTTATCCAGCAAGTAGAACATATCCTAACATGTCAAATCAAATCTTCACCCAATTTCCCATTTTCTCAATCAACTCTAGAAATACGGGGTTAATTGTGACAATTCATCCTTCAAGTGGATAATATCATAACTTTTCCATATCCGATCTTTACCCGGATTTGTTCAATAACTCTAGATAAACGGGGTAAATCGTGACAACTCTTTCCACGAGTAGTTAATATCATGACTTGCAATGTCCAATCTTCACCCCGATTTTCCTTTGTTTTAATGAATTAGTTCTAGAAATAATTCGTAATACCCTTAGCTCCCATGGCCATATACCATCTTTGCTCCGAGTTTCCAATTTTGCCATATCGAATCTTTGCCTTAATTTTTCATTTTTTTCGTTTATTAGGGACAAATAAGTGAAAATCTGACAATTAATCCCACGTGTGGGTTACATCCTAGCCTTTCATAATCAACTTTCACTCCGATTTTCCGTTTGTTTAGTCAACCCTAGAAAAACGGGGTATAATCTGAGTATTCATCTTGTAAGTGGAATACATCCTAACTTGTCATATTCAGTCTTTGTCCAGGTTTTTTGCATTTTCCAGGAATTCTGTAAAAATGGGATAAAATCGGACAATTCATCTTACAAGTGAGACAT